TCGAGCACTTGTGATTTCGTATCCGGTTGAAATTTACTTATTATTTCTTGATAAACCTTCTTTGTTGTTCAAACCCATAAATTTGACCCAATGTCTTGCACAGACTTGTTCTTGCAGCAATATTTTCTGATAAAACAGGCATTTTGTCTTGCCTCTCGGGTATTATGCTGGTTCAATTCAAAGGCATAGATAGATTGATCATTGATTGGCTTTAAATTTAGTTTCCATTTTATATAAGTGTCATTGCCATTTTAGCCTGTACCTATCATGTTTCTTCCCATGTCTCTAGATAAATGAGAATGACAAAGTGTGACACATTTTACCAAATCACTTTTCACTTTGGAGTTTGATTTGGTGCACATAGCAAATGTAGATCTTCTCCAACCTTCATTTTCTGAAAATTATGTTCCTTTAATTACCTTCTCTTATTAGTATCCGGGCGAGATTTGGCCAAGTCCAGGCCCAGGCCCAGGCCCAATTCAAAGGAGCCTCTATTTGTCTTGCCCAATCAATAATGCAAAACAATGAGTCTTGCTTTTGAGATGGGGATTGGTTGTGATACAATCAGGCCCAATTATGATGGGCCTTATCATAGATATAATCCCATCATTTTTTTTTTCAAAAGAGCGGCAACTAAATAAATATATAGACGGTAAGGTTTACCACAATATAAATTGCAAAAAATTATATGCACAACAAATAAAGTTCACAAAACTTTATGTAATTTTAAATGAGAACCTACCAACTTCATGTTTATTTCTATTGTTATTATTATCATTATTTTATTTTATTTTTTTACGAAACGATAGAATATTATAGAACCAAAGAAACATAGTTCAAAAAATAACTGCAACTGCCAAGGAGGCAGAGTAAGAGGAGCACTAACAATAGCGACATCAGGAAACCAAACCTAAACTGTAGGAGGAGCCAGAACACCGGCAAGAACAAGCTAGGATCCGGCATTAGACTACTACTACAACTGTGCAAGAAGAACTAAAACTACACAAAGCAAAAAGAATAACTTGGACAAGTCCCTAGCAGATACACCACTAAACAAGGCCTAAAACTATTGTCCAGCAACAACCAAACTAAACAAAGAAAAAGGAACAACCGAAAAAGAAAGCTACAAACAACAAGATGACAACATTAAGCAGCAGAGCATGACAAGAACTCAAAGCCGAGGTGGCAGACTAAACAATGTTGAATTCTGAAAGCCAAAACCCAAAAGTTTTGAAATAACTCAAAGTCGAGGTGACAGACTAAACAATGTTGAATCCTGAAAGTCAAAAGTTTTGGAAGACCCACAAGTTCCTGGCCTTCCAAATTCTGAAAACCAACAAAACTCATGTTTATTTCTATTCCTATCCCATTTTCCTTTATTTGTGTATCTTTATAGTTTATGTGTTATAAATTATAATCACTATTTATTCTAATCAATTTATTTTATTAAATTAACAAAGTGTAAAATAATATGAGTTGTTATTCCATAAAATTATATTAAAATAAAGGAGAGTTAAATTTCTCCACAAAATTATAAGGATTTAGATAAATGTACTCAACTTACACATAATTATATAATTTTGTGTAAATAATAGTGTTCGTACTTACTTATGATTTAGGTTCATTTGAATTTGTTTATAACTTATTCAGCTAGCTTATTAGCTTATTGCATTGTAATAAACAAATACGAGGGCATATTGTTTTTTTTATGAATTCATCCAAAATTACTCAATGCATGGCTTTATCCTTGAATTTATTGATTGATGTTGCAACTTATAAACAAACAAAGTAACTGTTCATCGTATTGAACCAGAAAAGGAGGAGCATTATTTTGATATTCGCTCAGGCCTAAGAAAGGCCAGGACCGGCTCTGATTAGTATCTACATTCCTTCAAACTTGTTAAATTATTTTTGATCGAATTCATTAAAGCTTCTTTGTTGAATATTCATTAAGTGAATTACTTTCAGGTCCCTGAAGAGATTCTTGTCTGAAAAGAAACTGTATACTGTGTTCACAGGTTAAGCTGCGGTTAACTGTGCTCTCAATGCATCGAGACATAACAGTCAAATTATGCAGTCTACTAATCTTTTTCTTCTTAAAGACTTCTTCTTCATATGAAGATGCATTTTCTCAAAGGACTTCCCAACTACCCTATGAAAAAAGTGAAAATGAGACTTTAGAAAATATTGAACCAAATTTATGCATGCGTGTGTGGCTGAAATTGTACATGATTTTCTTTGACTTGTGCAATCAACCTGCTCTTGCTGCTACTATTAATATTATTATTACTATCATTAAACAATAAAAATTATGTCACTTTTGGTGAAGATCTTTTGATAAGTCAACTTATGATTGCAGATCAGACAGTATATTAACTGAACTGATTGAGAAAAAAAGAAGGCTACTTTTGATTCAGTCGATGATAGGTGGGAAAATGTGGAAATAATAGGTGTTAATAAGTGTCTTAACTATTTAGTTGGTATAGTGTAATTAGGAGGAACAAAAAAATGGCTTCCCTGTTAGATGTGTGTTGATCTAACGATTCAGATTCGTCCACATTGGTAAGATGAAATTCACCGAAACGAGTGATATGAGCTCATTAAGTTATAACTTAGTTTCAAACTACTGATAGACTAGAAAGTTAAGATTTATAATAACAGTTGATTAATCTATATATATCTAAAAAGGTTGATGTAAAAATCTTTTTTTAGAAACCTAAAAATAATTGAGTTGACTTTTGACTTTCTATTGATGTATTCTACTTTAAGAAAAGAAACAAACTTTTTTTTTTGCCTCTGAGAGCAGCCGCATTATTGAAACCCACTGTTTCATGGTGAACAGGTAATATTTACCTTTGTTATTTCAATTTTATATAATTTAGAAAATTATTTTAATTAATATTTATAAATTTGTATCGTAGGGTGCTTTCATTAAATGCATAATACGTTATCCGAATATGAGAGCAACAAACTTTATATAAACTGAGAGCAGTCTAATTTTTGTAAAATATGTAAACTTTAAACGTGTTTTTATATATAAAATTGTATATACTTTTAAACATGTTAGTTGGGCAAACTTTAAGGATATATATATGTGTGTGTATGCTAACTTTAAGTATATATATTTTTCTTATAAAATAGTCTAGACAGAATTGAGGTAATTTCACATTTTTCGATAATAATATAAAATATTTTAATACTTTCACATATGTTATATAATAGTCTACGTATTCTTAATGTCTTTTGGTTGTAACATTGTTAACACATATAATATTAGATACTTTTAAACATATTTAGATAATTTTTTTTTACTCATTCTTTAATATCTATGTGCATAAAAAGAGAATAAGATTTATAAAAGATTTTCCGGCAATATACTAAATGTTAGATAAAAAAATCTCATTTTATTTGTTATATAATATTTCGAGTTGCATTAATTTTGATTTGTATGTGTAAACTTGATAAATTAAGCGTATGAAAAGGAGCGTACGAATTACTGTAAGGATTTAAAAAATAAAAAATAAATCTAATTTTTTAATATTTTCTACTAACTTCTAAACGAATTTATGTCATAATTCGTCATAATTTTCCCACAATCATGTCAATATTAATTTTATATATACTAGGTAAAAGGTAAATCATTATCTCAATATTTATTCTATATATTCTAAGTAAATCTTCTCATCTATCTCAACAGTCCACATGTAGTATTTCATACTTTTCTATTCATAATCAAATATATCAAAGCTTCACAAATTTTACTTCACAAAGAAAGTGTTCAATAATTTATATTTTTTTCCCTTCTTTGCAATCCATTTATTTTTGTTACATATATATAAATTTTATTACTTTTAATATTTCACATTTTTAAACATTTCAGGAAAATATACCATCTCGTGCATCGTACGGGTTACGCACTAGTTTTAATAAAAAACAATGATCTAGATTTTTTTTAAAAGTATCTAAAATAATCTCAAAATATAAATAGACAAAATCTTGGGGCATTTATTTTGTCCACAAACTTGGTGTAGATTTTGCAGTCTATTTTCCATTAGGGTGGACCTTGGTTGGGGAAAATAATTATAATTCTATCATATTAGGAAATTGCATATGTCACGGAAATTTGACAATTTCCTTGATACATAATATTTTCTCCTTCGTGGAAGGGAATTTGGGTTCACCAATTTCTTTATCATTATTATTATATATTATTTTCGAGTTTTAAGTTTTAACTCACGTTCTTCACAAGGGACTACGTGGTCAAGAATGCGACACCCCCAAATAAAACTTGTAAGTTGGTGCAATTTCTACATTTCAAAATTTCTTCTCTTCTTTTGACTTGTGCATGGGCCATTGGACATTTAAATTAAAAAACATTTTTGTCACGCTAATTTTAATTATTATATTTTATTTTGTATACGTTGATAACCTCACTAATACATCATTATTCTTTCAAGTTAATGTCAGAAATTTCTATGTCCAATCTCACATGCAACTAGAATTGTTAAACGAAACAAAGTTTAGTTATCGGTTCATTTAGTTAACACATCAAAGCTTGAACATCAACTGGTCGAGCTCGATCTCGACTGACTTATTTACACAATTCATTTAGTTAACACATCAGAGCTTGAACATCAACTGCTCGAGCTCCAGCTGGCTCATTTCCAACCTCTAACATTCACAAATTTTGTTCTTAAAAGTACAAGCAATGAAAATTGAAAAAAGGACTTCCTTATCAACCATGAAAAAAGATGGATCAACCTTTCATGCATCAATTGGCAAAAATAGTCATATTTACTTCAGCAATTAAAAAAAAAAAAAATGTCCCAATAACTTGTTATTTACTTATACACAAATCTCTGCAGAGTCTAGTCTCTACCATCCTCCAAAAGTCTCCTCCTTCCTGGGTCTCCCATCATTCATGACTTCAAACTCCTCCAAAAAAAAAAATATCAATAAAAATAATTTCAAAAATAACAACAGCAACAACAACAAAAAAACTACGACGAGCTCGTCGTCGATCGGGACATAACCGGCGGCGCCAAACACGCCTCGAGCGCCCTCTCCAACCCTTCCACCACCTCACTCATCGTCGGCCTATCCCGTCCGTCCAACTCGACACAATCCGCCGCCAAACACCCCACGTAAGCCACGGCCTCGATTTCGAACGGGGTCGGAGGCGGGATCCGCCTGTCCAAAACCCTATGAATCTCGTCTTTCCCGACAAATGGCAACACGTAATCGACCACATTCCTCGGCACACCCCCCTCGTTCTTGTGCACCGCCTTCAAACCCGAGAGCAACTCCATCAACACCACCCCGAAGCTATACACGTCGCTCTTCGCCGTGAGCACTTGAAGCCGGTAGTACGCGGGGTCCACGTACCCCATCGTCCCGGCCGCGCCCATCGAGAGGTGGGATTCCCCGTCTCGCGGGCCCGTGAGGGAGAGCCCGAAATCCGAGACGCGGGCCGTCCACGACCCGTCGAGGAGGATGTTCGACGGCTTGATGTCTCGGTGGATCACGCGCGGGACCGCGTACTCGTGGAGATACTCGATCCCGCGGGCCGCGTCGAGCCCGGCCCGAATCCTCGCGGGCCACGAGCGTAAAGGTGAGTCGGGAAGCTCGTGGACGTGATCGGCGAGGGTGCCGTTGGGCATGTACTCGTAGACGAGCACACGCTCGTCCCGCTCCTCGCAGTACCCGAGGAGCCGGACGAGGTTGCGGTGGTTGAGTCGGGAGAGGAATTCGAGCTCGTTTAGGAAAGCCGAGTCCTTGTCCTCCGGGCCGCCGTGCCGGGCCAGGCCCGGGCCCGGCCCGGTGGACGAGGAGGAACGGGAGGTCTCGGCCCGTTTGACCGCGACCTCCCGCCCGTCGTCCAGCGTGGCGCAGTAGACCGAACCGAAGCTCCCGGACCCGATCTTGCGCTCATCCGAGAAGTTGTCGGTGGCCGCGAGGAGGGTTTCGAGGGGGAATTCTTCGAGGTGGCCCCCACTCCCCATGCTTATCAAGTGGCTGACTTTTTTCTCGAGGGACGGTGGCCGGGCTGGAGGCGGCTCCGGCTGAGATTCGGGGGTGTGGGGAGACGAGCCGCCGGCTTCCAGACGGCCAGAGTCGTGTATTCGACTTCCACTGATTTTGATGTAACGCGAAAATAGATATATACACACGAGTAGTAAAGACGAGAAGGAGCCCACGCAGCCGATGACTAGAAATGCCACCATTTTAGCATTCCATTTTCTGCCGCCGGAGGGTGGTGGTGGTGGCGGTGCCGCCACCGGCGGCGGCGGCGGCGGTGGCGGTGGAATCAGTTGGGATTGATTATTAATATTAACACAAGGTTGACAAATCACGAGCCCTTGATCGCAATATTGACCGTAATTAGGCAAAGGCTCACAGCCACATTCGACTCTAGCTCTACACGGTCCGGGCACCACATCACTAAACACCAAAGGATTCGGATCGAAACCCGCATTGCCCCAACAAAGCAACGAGTAATTCGAGAACACGACCCCGCAAAAAATCGTTCTTTTTGCTTCGAGGGAAATAAAGGACTCGGCCCTCAATGAATCGGGCAAAGCAAACCCGTTTTCTCCCCAACAAACCACCATTCGGTTACTTCTTATCGCGCAAGCTCGACTTTCCCCCAAAGCAACCGACGTGAACTCGCCCTCGGGCCTTGGGATTGGGCCCACAGTATTCCCCCAACACAGCAAACTACCATTGAGAGAAACAGCACAGGCGTGCTGGGGACCTGCCCGGACCTGGCTGAAGTTCCCCACAGGCATTTCATCAGTCACATTGTAGGCACTTCCCAAACACTGCACCCGACCCGAACTCAACAGGCCGCACACGAAATTCTCCCCTACTGCAAGACTCGAAGAGAAACTATCAGCATTATTACTATTATCAACAGTGTTATTGAAAATTCTCTGCGGCCAGCATTGAAGAGAATTTGAACTGTTGACCAGTCCACAAATTTGAGAATTTCCAGAAGCAAAATCGCGCAAAGCAGGGCCGTTGTAAATTCTTCTGTAAGTGAGGTTACCGCCCAAATCAGAGAACCTCCAGCAGACCACGACGGAGGATGATGAAGAATTAAATGGGCTCACGGCGCAGATGAACCCATCTCCGGCCACGACGCCGGCGACCGAAGGTAGCGACGGGCTGATCGGAAATTGAACTCTTTGAGGGAAAATCGTGCAGTTTAGAGACTGTTGGTTTAGTGAGCCGGCTACGGCGCACACCACCGTCCGGTTTCCGGTTTCAGAGACGGCGAAAGTGGAAAGCGAGTGAGTGTTTGGGAAGAAAAGGGCCGCGAGGAAAAGGGCTAAAACGGGAAAAGAGGGATTTTTCGCCATGAAAATAGGTCGCAAGAAATTGTTCTCATGATGGTGGTGATTTTACAGAGATGGTTTTGGTAGAGAGAATCGATAGCGAAGGTTCTTGATTGTGGGGGTTTATATATGTTGGTGAATGGTGATAAATCGAAGGAGATGAACTGAAGTGTAAATTAGACGCGTTCTTGGAGAGCGTTTTAAAGACCGAGTAATTTTGAATAAAGAAGAGCGCGTGGTCAAAGAGTGGAAGAAGTATTCATACATAAAATTGGGAAAAATAAGCTTATGCAATGGGAACTTGGTGAGAAAATTTGTTTTGGCTAATTTGAATGTTAAGTATGAACTCAAATGCATGCTTATTGATTAGGGATGCAAATGAACCAAGTTTGAGCCTATAGTGTTCAAGGTTAAGTTGGAGTTCGAGTTCAAGCCCTACATGGATTTTCATTCTTTTTCTTTTGCCGCCTTTCGCGCAAAGGGTTGAAGGGAGATAGTACAACGAATCAGTCTTAGTTCGTTATCTAAACGAGCTAATAATTGAGCCCGAGTTCAGCTTGTTCATCAATATTAACGAGTTGGGTTTGAGTCTTAACGAGTCAAACAATAAAATTTATATAAATTTCCTCTTGACGAGCCTTATTGAGCTTAGTCGAGTCTGGTTCGTCAACTAAACAAGTTCGAGCCGAGCCGAGACGAGTTGAGTCGAGCCAAACTTACGAATGGTTCATTTTGTTCAACAACTCTATTAGTGATGCATCAAATCAAAATCTAGTGAGCTATATTGTTGAGTAATAAAATTTTGATAGCCTAAATGTCACGAGTTATACGAGTTATAATTATTCTGGAAATTACAATTGGTGCGTGTGATATTGTTCGTCTCTTTGAATGTATTAGATACTATTAGTTGGTCGGTAAGGTAAAGTTGTTGCTAAGTAGCACAATCAATTCTACTTCTTAGCAAATTAGTTGTTTTTAAGTTGGAAAATCGTTTTTCTATTTACTTTGTTTTTAACAAATATGCATACTTTTAATTAAAATATCAAACTCTAAGAATCAATGTAAATAAAAGTATGAGATCTCATAACATAAGTATATATTTATTCAAAAATATTATAACACGTCAACCTGTCTAATGATTACATTGTCGTCTTATGCAAGAATTTGTATTGATCTGAGAAAGAATATTAATAACAATAACCATAGTTTTATTGAGCAAGATAGCGCTTTCAATGTAACACAATAGAGATTAAAATAATTGTAGCATTTTCCTAAAATAAAAATCAAGGATCGTTTGTCTGGTCGAAGATGTTTCATAGGAAACCTATTAGTCTGGTTGTTTTTTTGCCTGTAATATTTGCAAATATACTAGCCACTTCTATTATAATATTCATAATAGTTTGTAATTAGTTTTTTAGTAGTTTATAAAAAGTACTCCCAAAAAAGTAGAAATACATGTTGCATTCCAATGCTACATATTCCCGTAATGTAATATAATTCTAAATTTCTAATGTTAGAATGTCACAAGTCAGCACACTGAAATATTGACTATACCCCAATTTCTACGTGCAACAATTATTTATTTTTCTTAGTCTTCCTACACTTCATCTTTTAGTTTTTATAGATTTAGTCTAAGACGAAAAATCTTGACATGAAAGGGCTTTCGCTTGGTGCTTTGACTCGACTATAAACAAAAATCAAATTCAACCATATTACAAATCCATCTATATTATATTAATAACGTGTTACCATTTAATTTATGTCTAAGCTTAGAAACAATTTGATAGTTTTGATAAGATGGTAGAAGGCAAGTGTGAAATATCAAATAATTTAATTTTAGCATATGCCCTAATATAATATCTTTATTTATACAATCTGTGTTTGTGTCTTATTGAATTTTCCTTTCCCTTTCCTTGTCTATTGAATGTTGGGTATTTTTATTTGTATAGTCAATAGGTTATGAGCTTTTCAACTCTTGCTTCATAATATGATTTAATCTATTTTGATAGAATGGTTGATGTTGATAAATTATAATGATAAAAGTAATAGATGTTTATTAGGTGTATTATCTGTAATAACATTAAAAAAAAATATATATATATTTACAATTATAAGCTTCTTGTCATTTTTTCTTTTTTTTTTTTAGG